ATACACGAGTCCATAACACAATCCAAATAGAGTCACCATTACCACATGAATTCAACGGTCTTAGCTCCACTAATTCACAAAATCAACTGGCACAGTAGAGAGCTAGATAGGAAAAATCTTATACTTCAACATCCTCCTTAGTGCTACACTACCTCCCTAGGTTGCACATTACTATAGAGACTGTCAATTCAAAGCATACTGAGCAAGCAATTTGCAAGGAGACACGTACTTGGAGCCCTCAAATCGAAATTTGGACAGTGAACTATGCTCCAAGCACACAAACAACCAAACATTCACCCGCCTACATAATCGAACATCCCCCCACACTTAAGCACGAAATTTTCCTCAATGGAGGAAAGATAAGGAGGGTAGAACGAAGTTACCAGATCCAGGGTGAATGATGGTAGACGGGGCACGCGGTGTATTCCAGGAGGAGAGAGTGGTCAGAACACAAACACCACACAAAATCTCACAAAGGTTGAGTTATTGACTCTAAAATTAAAGAACAAAACTGACTCAACCGAGGTGAAATAGAGAAAGAAATGCAAACCGACTAGTTGGGTTGCCTCCCAACAAGCGCTTCTTTCACGTCGTGAGCCGGACGGTAGCTCCTAAGTTTCGGTCCACCCCAAAACCTCCTTGAAGTTGAGGTTCTCGTCGATGAGGTGGAGTCTTAAGTCACGAACATGTGGTATGACAGGTAATGGAAGCTCGTGCACTTGATGCAGATGAAGTCTCCACCCTCGAGACCTCTTCTTCTCTTCTCTCGTCTCATTGCCCCAAACCAGATATGACAACATCGATTGACCACCATCGCGTCACCAAGAGGAACCGATGTCAATGTGGCCTTGGTCTGGCAAAGAGACACTGCAAATGGGTCCTTGCTAAGCAGTTCCTCGAAGTTTGGTGGAGGTATTACTTGCAACTCATGGCCGGTGCAGGCCTCTTCCACCTCAACTTCGTCCTCGGTTGGGACGCCAATTGCTTCTTCAACCTCCCTTCCTTTTTCATGTGGTATCACCCCTGGGAAATGATCAAGAACTCCTCCTGCTTCACTTTCGTCATCCTCCACAACTTCTTTCTGCACCCTTTCTTGCTCTTCTTCTTCTAGCACGGATTGGAGAGCAAGTTTCCAAGAAATTTCTTTCATGAGATCTTCTTGCATCTCCTCACTCATGCCCGCCTCTTCAAAGCTCAGTTTGGGATGAGGGAAGGTGTGGTCGGCTACGACAGGACATTCTTGATCATGATCTTCACGGGAGCTCTTCGTGATAACTTCTGTTTGCTCCACAATGTCCTTGTAGCCTTCTTCTTCCTCCTCCTCCTCTAGTATGGTAGCAGTTGGGTGATCTTGAGCAAGTTGTGCACAAACTTGCTCAACCCGCTCTGGTTGCTTTGATGAGTGCGAAACATTCTCCTCCAATTCACGGAGGGATGAAGAGTTAGGAGAGCAAAGGATGAGAAAAGGAGGTTCATCTTGTGATTGTGTCTCTCGGAGTCCCGAGAAAACTGCTCCATGAGAAGCCTCAATTCATAGTTTGGATCTGGCTGTGGAGTGTAGCATGGCTCTACAGAATGGCCCGTGAAAGCCGCCATGGGTAACTCCAGCTCCAATGGCCCTTCTGGTTGTGGGAGAAATTCTTCTTGGTAATGAGGTTATTCTTGATAAGTCCAGGGGTCTGATTGTTCTCCGTAGTAAGGGGTTTGGTACTGGAACCCGAATCCATAGTCTTCTCCTCCTTGATTGCTCCGGGAAGTCTCGGGGTAATACCACTCGGATGGTGGTGGATACCCCCAATGGTTGGAGAAGCCATGAGGATCCATGATTTAGATCTGCACCAACAAAAACGAAAACACCCAAGTGAAAAGCAAGGGTGGAAAAGAAAAGAAAAACGCTAAATTAACAAACTTCTGCCTTTCCTAATAATCTAGAAAGTCCTCGGCAATGACGCCAAAAACTTGACTCGCTATGACACAACTCCTAACAATGGCCAAGTGTAACCAATGAAAGGGACTGCAGTATAGTGGCTCAAGTAATAAATATCGAATCCACGGGTCTCTAGAGTTACTATTACTCGGCTTCAGTTTATTATCTAGCAAACCAGATTAAGATGAAAGAACTAAAACTACTCTAGCAAACTACAGTTAAAGTTAATCTAATTACAGGTTGGGAACTCACTTAGGTATGATTCCCCCTTGCCACTAGCCAGATTAATGATTGATGATCTCTCACATGTTTCACTTTCATTCACAATGCGGAGAATCCTTAACTAGACCTTGAGTCTCGACTAAAGGAACAAGGCCCTCTTGAGTCAATTGCCTAGAGGGACGTATCCTTCTCTAGAACAACCGATCAAGGTGTTCTGAACTAGACTCCCTCTATCGAAAGAGGTTTTCAATCGATACAAAGCTGTGAATCAACCCTCGACTAAAGCAATCGATCCAATACTATCAATCTATGGTGCTCTATTGACCTAATCAGGTATTCGCTCTCATAGGATCAAAGCAGAATCAATAATCTCGACTAAAGCAGAATTGAATCATGAAAACGTGCATAGATTGAATATGAACTCAAGATTATCAAGTAGGAGTACTCATACAATCATCCAATCAAATAAACATAGCTAGGGTTCCTCAAAACCTAAGTGAAGGGAAGTTACTCCATAGTGAAGAGAGAGACTGCAGTAAAAATCTTTAGATGATCAGTCTTCAAGTCCGGGCTTGTTCCTCGAGCTTCCAAGGCGAAGAAATCCTCCAATTCCACTCTTAGAATCCCCTCAAATCGCCTTCTCTCTCTCTCTCTCTCTTTGGTTCGTCCCTTGGGTGTTTGGGATCCAAAACCCAGCTCCCCCTCTCCTTTGGCTCGAATTTGAGTTAAAACCCAGAATTTCCCGACTCACACGGCCGTGTGACTCTCCCAGGCTGCCCGTGTGAGTATCAAAACGCGGAGTTTCGATAAGTGGCTTCAGGATTCCTTCACGGCCACGACCCACACGGCCGTGTGGACTTCCAGGGTGCCCGTGTGAGTTCCCTGGAATTTCCACACGGCCACAAGAGGTCCCCTACACGGCCGTGTGGCTTTTAGGCATGCCCGTGTGGCTTCTCAGCTTCTCGCCAAACATCCAAACTTCGTCCAATTGACCCCGAACTCATTCCCAAACCTTCATTCACGTACTAGGACCTGAAATATCACAAACAAGAACAACCTAGCGTGAAATCGGCCTAAAACGCGAGAATCGACATCTCAAACGACTCAAGGATAGGGGTTAAAACATGTGTAATCAATGGTCTATCACTGTCTCACTTGCGACCGACCGAACTTCTTCAGCCGATGCCGGTGCCGGAGCGGGTATGGGAGGACATTAGCATGGATTTCATCGTGGGATTACCTCCCTCGGGTGGAAAGTCGGTGTTGTTCGTGGTAGTGGATCGGCTCACTAAGTACGCCCATTTTATGCCATTGGCGTATCCGTACACCGCGAAGTCTGTGGCCGAGCAGTTCGTATTGGGAGTGGTGAGGCATCATGGGTTTCCCTGGTCGATCGTCAGTGATCGTGACCCGGTTTTCTTGAGCAGGTTTTGGCAGGAGGTCTTTGCAATGGCACGAACGGTTTTACGCATGAGCTCGGCCTATCATCCCCAAACCGATTGCCAGACGGAGATCGTTAACAAGCACCTCGAGCAGTATTTGAGGTGCTTCGCCCACCAGCAGGCGAAGCAATGGCTGGCCATGCTCCCTTGGCCGGAATTGTGGTATAACAGCACGTATCATCGGACCATCAAAATGACCCCGTTCGAGGCTCTATACGGGCGACCACCCCCGACGTAGGTGCAGTACAGGGGCGGATCGAGTTCGGTTGACGCGGTGGACAGGTGGCTGGGCGCGCGGGACGAGGCCTTGGAGCAGTTAAGAACCAATTTGGCTGCAGCAAACAACCGGATGAAGCAGGCTGAAGATGCAGGGCGGCGGGATGAGGAGTTTGAGGTGGGAGATTGGGTACTGTTGAGGTTGCATCCCTACCGGCAGTCTTCAGTCTTCCGACGGGCATACCAGAAGCTTGCGGTTCGATTCTTTGGGCCGTATGAAATCACCCACAAGGTCAACCCTGTTGCTTATCGGCTGCAGCTACCTGCAGGTTCCCGCATACACCCGGTGTTCCACATTTCCTTGCTGAGAAGGTACCGGGGGCCGGCGGACAGAGTGACTTCGACGGCTCCTCCGGTGACAGCCGATGGCGACTTGGAGCTGGTTCCTCTCAAGGTGTTGGAGACACGGTGGACGAAGAAAGGAGGCGAAGAAAGGAGGGCGGCTGGTGGAAGAGATCTTGGTGTAGTGGAAGCACGTGGAGCCGGAAGATGCCACCTGGGAAGAGTCAGAGATGCTCCGACAGAGGTTTCCGGATTTCGACATCGAGGCAGATCTCGATTATGAAGTTGGAGGAGATGTGGGAAACCCGACCCTTGGTTAGGGAGAGAGGGCCGGCTCGGCCAAGAGGGGGGAGAGTGGCAAACTTGTGATTTATGATATTTTTGGTTTACTGCTACTTAAGGATACAACTCATTAGTTTTGCGAATTAAGCAATAATAATCAGAAAACCCCAATCCCTAATCTCTCTTCTCTCTCTCTTGTTCTTCCCCAATTCTCCAAATCCCTAAATTCTTCTCTTCTCAATCCCTAAATTCCCAATTGGGATTTCTTGTCTTACAAAGTAATAGTAAAAAAGTTGTTTGTTCTTTTAATAAGTTAATAATAATAATTAGTGCTAATTCCACAACGAAGCCCAAACTATTCAAAAAGTGTCATTTGTGTCCTAAACTATTCAATATGACAAATCTGGCACAAACTATATGCGTTTGTTACATTTTGTATCCTGAACTTTTCAATATGACAAATTTTGACCACATAGAAGTTGACTACATTTTGTGTGTGATCTACTAACGGTTCCAAGAGGAGAGATCCCCAGAGTCAGAGTAGCGGCGGAGGCAGAAGCCGGAAAAGAATGGAAGAGCTAAGGAGGCTGGAAGAAGTACAGAGAATGCTCAACTTCACCAAATCTCGTCGCTTGGCTTCAGCTTCTGATGAAGATTCCAACCTTTTCATCTCCAATTTCATCCTCTTTCTGGTACCCAATTTATTCCTTCTTAAAAACACTCTTTTCAGTTTCTTCTCGTTTCATATGAGTGATGGATTCCCCTTGCTTACGCCTTCCTTTCCGCTTCTCTTGTGGCATCAGATGCAACCGTGTGGCGATCTCGACATGAACACCAAGTTCAGCTTGATTCGCGAGCAACTACAGCTAGTGAGCCGAAGTTTTCCACATTGATTCATCGCAGCAACTAACTAATATCTGAACTTGGATTCTCGTAGCTGATTCGTTTTTGGGCGTTTGCAGTTTTCGGACCCTGCTTTCCAGGAATCGTCACTCTCAGGGAAGTCACATTCTCCATTAGAGATGGAGAGCAGTCCTGCCAAAGGTCCAATTTACGTCACCGCTATTATAATTTGTGCTTCCCCTATCGAAAGCTCCTTCCTGCGTGATTCTGTTGAAATTCGTATCGAATAGTAACCTCGTTTTAAATACGATTTTAAGGAGCATTTGTGATTGGTTTCAGGCTGTCAAGAAAGTAGAATCGCCAAAGTTGGTCTGCTTTCTTGTGATGGAGAAAGTAGTGAACCACGAAAGAGTTTCCGCGAAATGGGTGTGGTTCAGCTTGATGCTATGCAGAGAGCTAACTCTACTCTTGAGGATTTTGTAAGCAAGTCACTTGTTCCTTTGATTGTTTGATGAATGCTATCATCGAAGTTCTTCAATTTCTATAACAATGATTGTCTCCCCCCTTAACATAAGAATGGTTTTAATGATGTGTTTCATACTTAACATTTAACACCAGGGAGGGTTGAGATCGTTTGGGGATGATGTGAAAATCAACACTGCAGGCAATCAAACTAAGAATGATCAGTTGAGCGGTTATTATGATAGTTGTAATGGGGGGATCCTTACAAAAATGGGTCACATTGCCTTTTCTTCAGACGGACTGTTTTCATGGAATTTTTGGTCTTGAAACTGAAGCCATGTTGCCAGTAGACCATCATTCTGTGGACCTGACATTATACTACCAACTTCTGTTGTAGAAACAAGCATTCAAATAACCTAATTGTTACTTTCGTAATCTGCAATTTTAATTGTTATCTAACATTTTTTATGCATTTTGCAGTGTAGGTCTTACTTTATGTTTCATGGAATGGATGTCAACAAGCCAGAGTTACTATTCAAATATTTACCCTTTCTGTCTTTCACTGAAAGTTACATCTATCAGGTATCCAACTGAGAAGTCTTTCTTCTTTTAGCTACAGATGTAAAAACATGAAAGAATAGAAGATTTCTGGGAAGAGCTTTGATTCTTGGTATTCAAGTCTTTATTTGCTATGTTATTGGAAGCTAATTTTTTGTTAGTGCAGATGGATAGCTTGAACGAAAAGATAGTTAATTTGGCAAGCAGCAAAGTTGCATGTCTAGGAAGAGGATTTGAGGTAGGCAACATTTAGCATTTTATGTAACTTGTTTCTCGTATTTTTTAATTGTTTTGTCAAATGCTCAATTGGCCACCTTTGTCCAATTTAAGCAGGATGGTACCCAAGGCTTCGAGATGAAGTTAATGGAGATTCTTAAAACTGAACCGTTCCAGCCACTTGTGCTTCAATTAGAACATCATGGCCTTCTTACAGAGAGGTAAATCACAAGGTCCTATTCATTTTCGGGTATTTTGGAAGAATGGAGAATCTTCATTTCTGAATTTGGTGCACCACACCTTCTTTCTGGTGTTCGATTCTCTTTTGTTTAAGGATCCGAGAAGAATTGAGGTGTGGAGAAGAGTATTGGTCACTTGAAAGAGACCTATGTTCGGCACTAGCAAATCAGAATGAGGTACCGTGTATGATTGCTTGTCTTCTGTGTTGAGCCGTGCTTATGTTAGTATAAAGTGTCACGGGGATGTATCTTTACTATCGGAAGTGCATCCTCAGATTCTAAACTACTTAAGCGAAAACCAGCATATAAGCTAGTTCAGTGGGTTCTTGATGAATGAAATTCAGAGCCGGGAATTAGCTTGCACAAGTTTTAGATATTTGAAATCCTGATGGTGAATTGTGTTGCAGATCTGTGTTGAAGATGTAATGAGGGCAATTCATCTGAAATCATTTGACTATCGCATACTAAATCTTCTCCTTTATCAGCTGCAAGGAGAACAGGTTCGTTAGTTGTAGTCACTATTCCGGGGAAAGAATGTTTGCTTGTTTTCTTCTTTTGGGGTTATGAATTAGTTCGTTTAATAGAAACTAAGCTGTGGTTGGTTTGAAGCTGTTATGAAGGTGAATGACTTGCATATGGATTTCCTATCAATATCAGAGTTTTTGGTTGAAATAGCAGATGATCTGTAAGTGATTTCGTTTTGGCAGGGGCATGCCTCTCAATCAAACTATTACCACCCTTGTTAAATAGTGAAGTAGTAGAATATCAGGTTACAGTTCGTGCATAGCACCGTGTTTCCACATACTGGTTAATCTGCAGGAAGAACTAATACTTTTTTTTTTTCGTTCATCAATACTACAATCTGCTTGCCAAGTGAACTCGGTTCCACTAATCGCCAACTCAAAATGCAACATCCATAGGTTTGATTACGAGGTGCGTTGTCATATAGACCATCATCTCTGAACATGTAATTTACCCTCTGTAGGTTGCTAATGAGAAAAACAATTTGATTTTACTCAGGATGATGTACAAGAGAATAGCTTCAATATCTTGCGGATGTTTGTCAGAATATATGGACCTTCAAGAGCCCCAGCAAAGCTGGTGAGATATCTTGGCAGGATAAGATTCATTAGTATAGAGTAAGGCCTGCTTATCTTTTTAACAGTAGTCTCTACTCTATCTCTATATTCCCAGGCAAAGTGCATCGGTGATGCCGAAGAGAAGTATGAACGTTTACTGAAGACTCTGGAGCCTCACTTATCAAAAAGTTACCAGAGAAGATGCGAAGAGGCAACAAGAGAAGGTAGTATTTTGCTGGCGCATATTCATTTTCATGAACTATTTTGAAAAAAATGCTTTTTAAGACTGACAACAATTGACTGCTGGCTTGGTTAGGCGGGAAGCTAATCGGAAACCCTCTGGGATCATGGACCATACCGCGCGTAATTGCAGACGAAGAATCATTCAGAGCCATGTGTTCAAACCCTTAATGCCGAGCTCAACTCAATTGCTGATAACTCAGATTATAGGACATCAGCAACATACTTATTTCGTAGCAAGGAACTTAAAAGAGGTGCAGCCCATTGGTGGAGGATTTCATGTCTCAGTGTTATCGCTTACAACCACGAAAAACCTCTGCAATCAGTCGATCAAAGTCCTTGTAAGATGACCGTCCAACCACAGCAGCAGCTTCGGTCTTCCTCTTCCACTCCAAAGCCTTGTTACGCCTCTCTGCCCCTTACCACTCTCCAACATCTCCTTGATCAGCTCGATCCCTTGTATCTTGATGCTTAGCTTCGACACCGATATCCCAAACCTTACACATGTAACTCGCATTCTTCGACTGCTCAGCTACAAACGGCCACAAATCACTGGTTTCCCAGCGATCACAGTCTCCACCGTTGAGTTCCAGCCTGCATGAGTGAAAAACAGCCCCACACCCTTATGAGCCAGCACTTGCTCCTGCTGGCACCAGTTCACAATCAGGCACCTATCCTCAATCTCATTATAGTCCGTCAAGACGGAGGCGCTGGCCCTCATACCGTCCGTCCTGACGACCCATACAAAAGGATTACTGACCCAGGCTCCCGCTTGTCGAGCCAGTCGAAGCACCGGGGGTGTTCCTTCCACAGGCCCACGGTAAGGTTCATGGGAGGGCCGTGAGTCGAGACGACGTGGGCTTCGAGGAGGTTGAGCAGTCCGATGCAGTAGACGTGTGGGTTTGTTGGGATCCAGAGGTCGGCCTCATCTTCCTACTGGTGGCGGTGGTGGTGGTGGATAATCGTCCTCCTCCTCCTCGAGATGGAGGTTGATAGCTCGGACCATTTCATCAAGGCGAGTGTTGATCTAGTCTTGTTGGTCACGCATTATCCGAGTAAGACGTCCCACCAGAGCATCCATGGTGGTTTGCGGAATGCCCTCCAAGTTCTAAACTTCCTGATTGTTGCGAATTTCTCCTTCTATTGCCATTTAGTTCAGAAACTCGACACAAGAAATTACCCGTCAATGCTTAAAGTTTCAGACTTATAGTATAAAGAAAAGTCCTCACAAAATCAATCCCTCACGTGTTTGCAGTCGATTGAGATCACTCATTTTCTTACCAGTCATGTTTCACTCAACAGAATTGGCTTTTACCCGAAAGTGAACTCACAAAGCCTCTTTCCACTCCCACTTGAAACCCTAGGTAAGAACTTCTCTTTTCTCAAGTAGTACAATCAGAAACCAATCACGAACAACACAGGAAAGACTTTCTTGCGTGATCTGACCTAGTTCCCGCCTTTTTCTTTCTTCGATTTTCATTTTTTTTAGATGAACGACTTTTTCTAGATGCACGTTACAATTCAAAAATGAAACTAAGAACAAGAACTGAAAATTAAGCTCTCTTGGCAGCGGTTAAGAACACAAAACCTGATTTGTATGATTCTCGCACAAGAAAGGAGGATATGTGTGTCAATGTGTTGAACCTGAGCTCTAATACCACCTGATATAAGCCGAGGCTCCAACTCCTGGACTACTATAACCCAACAATCACAAAACGGACAAAAACCCAAACCAAATCCACAAGTCGGGAAGAGGGCCAGGTTTACGAATGACTATTCGGCTAGGGTGATTTTTTAGCAGAAAACGTCGGGATCTTCTTGCTGAATCGATTCCACGATAAGGAAAGAAGAAGAAGAAAAGTTGGTGTTTGAACACTCAATTCTAGGGTTTTATTATTGATCAAATTATGTTAAACCCGTAGATCTTACACCCCTCTAATTATAGAGGTCGCAAAAACCCAAAATAAACCTTCTAAAAATATAAAAACAAGTCCCAAACTAAGTACGAAACATAAAAAATGATCAAATAAAAAATAAAACTACTAATATAAAATCTAGACATGTAAACAATAATTAAACAAATAAAATCTCTTACATGCTACGTACCGCTGTCGTTTATGGATTTCCATTTCAGCTGCGAAAATGAGCTTCCTTTGGTTACTGGCTGGCGCCGCATTCTTGTAAGCTTGTCTTCATGTAACCACCATCAATTCACAAAACTTGAATATCCTTCCATGCCAAATAACATGTGCATTAACCCACCATCCATTTAATCTTCAATGAATAAGTAAACCCCAAATAATCATCATGTCAATTAAGCTGCTTTCTTCAATATACGTGTTGTCCTAGAGTTGCCAGCTTCGTGAGTACTATCTTATCCATCACGAATGTTCCCAATTGATCCTTATATCGATAAATTTGAATCTTCATTTTTGGAATACGAGAATTAAATATCGTGCAAGTCGATATCGCATCATTGTGGCTTAGGGTCCGGGACCAACTCATAGTGGTCCCCAGGTTTCCTTTTGGCTAGATCAACTGCCTGCATCTTTGGCCGCCACTCCTCCTTGAGCTTTTCTTTTGGTAACGGAGCGGATGAAAGTGTCCGCGAAGGAATAAGTGAAGAATCCTGCAAAACGGGCGATACAGAAGGATACACGACAGATTCATGCACCTGGTGAGATAAAGCATGCACAGCCGAGATAGCAGACATATTATTAGCAATGGAAAATGTTATCTTCTCCTCACCATCTCTCAAAACTAAGGTCTCATCATGTATATCTATGAGAGCCTTGGAGGTAGCCAGGAAAGGCCTACCTAGTATAAGGGGCACTTCTGCGTCCTCATTGATGTTTAAGACAACAAAATCTGAAGGATAAAAGAATCTGCCAACCTTAACCAAGAGGTCTTCCGCTATGCCTCCAGGGTGAACTATGGATCGATCAGCTAATTAGATACTCATCCTAGTTGCACTTGGTTCACCTAGGCATAGTTTCTTGAACAAATGATATGGTATAACATTTATACTAGTGCCTAGATCTGCCAAAGTCCTCTCTACATGCAACTTACCAATAGAGCACGAGATAGTAAAACTACCTATGTCCTTCTGATTCTACGGAAGCTTATTTTGCAGAATGGCCGAGCACTCCTCTCTAAGATCCACATTTGCCAGCTCGCTCAGAATCTGCTTCTTCGAGAGAAGATCTTTCAGGAACTTTGCATAGTTAGGCATCTGAGCTAGTGCCTTCATAAATGGCACTTGAACATTCAGTTTCCTTAGCATGGACATGAAGTTCCTGAACTCGACCTCCACCGATCTTTATGCATCATGGTGGGGAAAGGGAGGTTAGGCTTATACTCAGCCACTACTAGGTGGGGCTTTGGGGCGTAAACGTCTGGCTCCTTTGCCATCACCTGGTCCTCTTCCAGCTCTAGGGTGATTAGCGTCACCTTCTTTGCACTCTTCGGTGTTGCATCTTCAGTTACAGTCACACTCCTCATCATGATGGCGTGCAACCCCACAGTATGATTTCTAGGGTTCGACAAGGGTTGGCCAGAAAGTGTACCAGCCAGTCTGGAAGCAAAGGCATCTTCTAGGTGCCCGATTTTGGTGTCCATATCGTTTAGAAGTGCCTGCTGGTGCCTCTGGCTAGCTTCAATCTCCATGAATTTTCCCACAGCCACTTCCATAAATTGTTACAGTTTACTGAACTTCTCGGTACTGGTGCCGACCAAGGTGGTCATAAATAACCCTTAGTTCTGACACGGGATTGCCCGGTGCTGGGACAGATGGAGATGAACCAGGTTGCTGAAACTGCTTTTGCAGGGGCTATTGAGAAGCTTGCCTCTGTCTAGGCTGATAAAATGGCTCCTGCTGCTGCATCTGGCCCAGGCAAGATTGGTATGGCTGTCTCTGGTTCTGAAAACCAGTTGCAGGAGCCTGGAAGCCCGATGGCTTGGGATTATTGTTTCCACTCCATGAGAAATTTTGGTGTTGATGCCACCCCTCATTGTATGTATTACTATAGGGGTCGTTCCGCCAAGCATTATTAATGAAATTCAGCTGCTCCTGTGGTGTGCTAGACTCTCGCATGGCTTGGCAGTCCTCCACCCTGTGATTGGTGCTCTCACACCACTGCAATACATCGCCTGTTGCTGCCTTGTACTAGAAATCATCTCATTATGATCAATAACTAAAACCAGTTTAGACACGACATGCATCAACTTAGATGACTGGGTGTCCATAGCATGCACACCCCGGCCTGGTTCTCGCCGAGACCTCCTGAAAGCTCCCCAATCATACCCCTATTATGCCATCTCCGCAAAGAGCTGGTTCAACTGCGGTGGCATCTTAGTCAGGATGTTCCCGCCACAAACCGAGTCGATCAGCTGCTTATCTTCAGGGAACAAAGACCGATAGAAGGTGCCCACCTTGAAGGCATAATTGAAACCATGATTGGGACACTTCAGTAAGAGACTAGTGTATCTATCCCAAGCATCCTGAATAGTTTCGTCCTCCTCCTGGGCAAAAATGGGTGTTCTCTTCTGTAAGTATGTCGTTTTAGACGGAGGATGGTAGCGGGTTAGGAATTTGTTAGCCAGATCGGTGAATGTAGTGATCGATCCCGGAGGCCGGTTGTCCTACAACATCATAGTCTGTCCCTCTAAAGTGAAAGGAAAGTAGCACAACTGAATGGCATCCTGCGGGACTCCATTAATCTTCATTCCATCGATCAGCTCGTGGAACCTCCGCAGGTGTGATATGGGACATTCGTCTTATTTCTTATGGAATACCACCGAGCGCAGCATGGTGATGATAGAGGTGCTCACCTCAAAGTTGTTAGCAGCAACTTGAGGGTGTTGGATTGGGGGACTTATGTCTTGATACGACACTAGGGGTGTATATTATCACACTCACGCAGCTAACGACTCAATTGGAAGATAGATTGAGCTCGAATAAAGAACGAAGCGTTCATAATACGAACTTGTATAAAATGGAACCAAAAGTGCAATTCCACACCTAGTGAAAGGCTCGATTGGTATAATGATAGATGGCCGGCCACGATCAACGCATTCTTGATCGATAAAAAAACTCTAAGAGCTTGGAATCCACCAAACCCGTACAAGTACGCAAACTTGCACATAACCAAATGGTTTCTTTCGATTAATCAAAGTCTGTATTTTTACGACAAAAATAGAAGGCTATTTATAGCCAAGAAAACCTAAATGAACAAGGAAATAACTAAGGTAAAATTCTACCCTAAAAAGGTTACAAAATTCGACCACAAACTCTCTTTCTTCAAGCACAAGTAAGCTGCCAGCAAACAGTTCAAAAACAGGTTTCGTACTAACTTCGTGCCATTCGTTCGAGGCCTTCCAGATCTCCAATCTTTCAACCAATTCCTTCCCTTTGTGTAAAAACATACCTAGTTTAATGTTATGGAATCCTTTGGACTTGAATCAGATGCATGCTCCTCGTATTCAGCTCCAAAGTAGGCTTCACAAAACAGTTTCCAGACTTAGCCATTTTCTGGCAGTTTTCCAGTTTTGACATAGGCTTTTGGTGAGCTTGAAAAACAACCTTCCTGACTTCTCCTTGAGAAACCAAGCACACCAATATGTATATAAACACTCCATCTTCAACACAAGACCTTAATATTGAATTTTCATCAAGCCAATTGTGAGAACCATGCCTCCAAAGTAGACATCTCGAAACTGTTCCAATACTTAACCATATTCTGCCCTTCTTCTTCCCAACTTCGAAAGCTTCTTTGTCAATTAATAAAAACGTGTACAGTTAGTCCAATAATAGCCCATGGTGTGCTCCTCGGGGAAAACCGTTGCGTCAACATTTGGGTCACTCATTTCTTCTTCTAGGTTGATGTTCAGCTGAGCTAGAGCTTCCTCCGCAGCCTGTCATTCTTTCAAAGCTCTCTTGAAGTTGCAATAGGCCCTTTCGAGCTCTTGGTCCAATGGCAGTAGATCTCCAAACTGGCTAGGTGTCATGCACCACCTGCACACAGACGACAAACACAACTTGTGAAGGCACACAGGGGGAAGAAAGAAAATGCAGAAAAGTAAATGCTAAAGTAACAGATTTTCGCGTTTCTCCAATAACCTAGAGGGTCCCTAGCAACGACGCCAAAAACTTGACACGCTATGACACAATCATCAAACTACGACCAAGTATAATAGCAGTCTAGAAATGGATAATAGTGGGTAAGTTTAATCTATCAACCCGAGGTCTAGATCTACTGCATACTCCGTGAACTTCTATTATCTAGCGGGACTAAGTGAGTGTAGGTGAATTCAAACTAAAATAGAAAGAAAACAGTATATTGTCTGGTTTTCTGAAGGAAGAGAAGAGTCACTCGGAAATGAGTCCCCCTAGCTCCTTAGTTAGGTCCAATTTTTAATTTCCTTTGGTTGATTTACTGTGGATTAAACTGCGCAAGATCCGACAGTAGCTTGGAATCTCTTAAGATGACCAAGCCCTCTCGGACAGACTAACCGGCAAACGACTAGTCTTCACCGAGATAGAATGCTAAGGCAATTAACACAGAACTCCACTACTAGAAACAGTTTCCAGTACAAAGCAGTGAATTGACTTACTCGTGTACAATCAATTCACTCCTACCGATTGAAGAAATTCTAACAACCTATTCAGATTCTATCTATCACAGGTTGAAGCAGAAATCAAGAGAAGTTGATCAGGGCACCCGTTTTGGTTAAGTTGAGACAGAGAAAACCATGGTAGCGCATTTGGACTCATGATATTTGGGCAAGTAGACACCATGGTAGCACATTTTTCAAAATACTACTGATATTTGGGCAAGTAGACATCATTTGGACTACATGAGTCTTACTGCTCATTTCACTGATAATGAATGGAAAATGTAGAAAAGAATTATCAACTTCTCTCCTATTCCTAATCACATGGGTATCACGATTGGAAAAACGGTTGAAAAACACTTGCTTAATTGGGGAATTTATAGGGTTCTAACTGTGACAGTGGATAATGCAAGTTCGAATGATGTGGGCATGACATATTTGAAGAACAGGATTAACAATTGGAAAGGGAGTGTGTTGAAGGGTATACATCTCCACATGAGATGTTATGCTCACATATTGAACTTGACTTTGAAAGACGGACTGAAAGATGTTGACGAATCAATCCATCGTATTAGGTCCGCTGTGAGATATGTGAGATCGTCTAATTCCAGAATGCAAAGATTTAAGACTTGTGCCCATGAGGAGAAGTTAGAGACAAAGAAACTTGTGTGTTTAGACGTGGAGACTAGATGGAATTCCACTTTCTTGATGCTGGAGTCCGCTTTGGTATTTAAAAGAGCATTTGAGAGGTTAGAGGAAGAAGATCCTAAGTATAAAGTTGAGCTAGAGAAGTTGAAAGGGACACCAAATGAGTTGGATTGGCATTATGTGGAATCTCTAGTTCCTTTTCTGAAGATCTTCTATGATGCCACAATGAAAATTTCAGGTTCTTTGTATGTCACAAGCAATGATCTCTTTCATGTCATATATGGAATTGCTTGTATGCTTACAAAAGAAACTTCATCAAAAATCGAGAGTCACAAAATCATGGCAAGAAGAATGAAAGCTAAGCATGACAAGTATTGGGGCACCTTTGATGACATCAATCCCTTACTGTTTATTGATGTGGTTCTTGACCCGAGGTACAAGTTGGAGTATGCCTGTTTTGTGCTTGATGAGGTTTATGGAATAGAACATGGGGGAATTTGGACTAAAAATGAGTTGTTTGAGAGTGTGAATGGTGTTTTGGAGGATATGTTCAAGGACTATTCTGAAATGAGAGGGGTTACTAGTGGAAGCTCATCAAGAAGTGCGGGGAGTATAGCACCAAATGAGAATGATGAATCTGAAAGTGTGGAGGATTATTTGAAGAAAAAATTCAAGAGAAAGAGAATGGAAGATAGGGTGAGGAGAAACTACACTTTCAGAGCTTGAGAGGTACTTAAAGGCGAATCTTGAGGATGATGAGGACAAAACATTTGACATTTTAGCATGGTGGAAGAAGCATTCTGGTGAGTATCCAATACTGAGTTTGATGGCAGAGATGTGTTGGCGATTCCAGTATCAACTGTTGCATCTGAGTCTGCTTTCAATACCGGGGGGCGCGTTTTAGATACATTTCGGAGTTCTTTGACTCCCTTGGTTGTTGAAAGTTTGATTTGTGATCAAAATTGGATTCGATCGAGTACTCTTCCAATTGACATGGAAGAGCAATTTGAAGAAATTGAGGAACTTGAACAAGGTATGAAATATAATTTTTTTTATCATTCACTATTTGTTAAGATAATTATTAATTTTCTTATAAAAAATAATTATTAATTTATTTAGTGTGTTGTTAATTTTGCAGAGTTGAAAGAGTTTTGCTTGGATGAGGGTAGTATCATGAGTGATTTGGTTTATGATGATTGAACAACAATGTATTATGTAATCAACGATGTATTTGTACTTTGTAGTGATTTGTGGTGATTTGGACTTTTCAATGAATGGTTGCACAATGGTATCATGATTTGTCGGAATTGGTGACCTATCCATCATGCATCTCCTTCGTCTTTACACCCTTTCATCAAACACATATTTTATGGGAGTAATTTGGTAAATAAATAATTTTTTGAAATAATTTTGGTGATTGATTAATTTTATGGGATTAATTTGGTAAATAAATAAAATTTTGTAATTATTTTGGTGAATGATTAATTTTTTGGAATTAATTTGGTAAATAAATGATTTTATGGAATTAATTTGATAAATAAATAAAAAAATTTAATTATTGTGGTGATTAATTAATTTTCTGGAATTATTTTTGTGATTGAATAATTTTTAGGAAAAATTTTGGTGATTAATTAATTTTATGGAATTAATCTGATAAATACTGGAATTAATTTGGTAAATAAATAGTTTTCTGAAATTATTTTATTTATTAATTAATTTTCTGGAATTATTTTTGTGATTGAATATTTTTCAGAATAATTTTGGTGATTAATTAATTTTCTGGAATTAATTTGATAAATAAATAAATTTTTAGATTAAGTTCCTAATTAATTAATTTTGGTGATTAATTAGAATATTTATTAGGGTCGACCCACTGACCTAACCCTTTCCGACCCGCCCCGACCTTAAAGGGTCATACAGGGTCAAGAAGGAGACAGGGTCAGGGGCGGGTCACTTATATGCCTTGACCCTTTAGGGGCGGGTTAGTGAATGACAATCCATGGTGTTCCAACCACATCCATATCCTAGGCTTTCTTAACAAGGTTCAAGAACTCAGATTGGTCTATCCAGAATTCAAAATCTTAAATGGTTTGGGAAGTGACTTGACAGGAAATTTTGTATATTGTCGGAATAGCACAATAATCATAGAATTGAGTTGCAATAATATTCATTTTGCACTTTGGAAATGCAGACAACCATTCATCGTTGACCATTGCTCTGTCTAGTATCTTTGCAAAAGGATTAGCCCTCTTTTATTGGTTCAAGGGAATAAAGGGCCAGTACCTCTATTAGTCTCCAGCTCCATGTCAGTAATCCATTCTCCAAAGTCCTGCATACTAGTTATGGGCACTTCCTAGTTTGACATCTCCTCATGGTTTAGAACTGTATTCAAATCCCCCACCCTCCCCCTAAACAATCCATGGATGCCCTAAAACTTTTACTTTTCCAATCTCTCCATATGTGGCTTTTCTTTCAGCTTCATCATTGGAAGCATAGAAACCTGGGAGAAAGAAACTCTCTCCATCAACACATTGTGCTATGGTGTGAACAATATTCTTTCCTGACTTGAGAACTCTAAGGTTCACATAGGAAGCATAGAAGAGTCAAATTCTTCTCAAATACGAGTTAACATAGTTCAAGTGTCTCTCCCAATTATACAAGAACCTTGCTACCACCTTTGAAACATTAACTTCATAAACCCTAGTTTATAACAATACTGCAATATCAACCTTATGTTTACCAAGGACTGTATGGAATTCCTTTCTTTTTTAAGGGTTGCTAAACCCTCTCACATTTCAAAAGAGAACTAACATTAGGAAGATGAGGCTTTGTCCTTGGCCTTCCTACTTTTACTATAAAACTTTTCCACTTCTATTTCACTCAGCCTACCTATGACATTGAAGGAGCTCTGCAAATTATCCTCATGCACCAACTGTCTCTATTTTTTCCTTACATTTGGCTTTCCTCCATTAATGACTTTCTGGAATTCAGCCTAAGAAGGTAAACCAGTGCCACCAACATCACTAAATGATTTCTCCATATTTTTACCCAAGGAGATACTTAGACCTGTCTCGTGTCTAACTATGTCTCCTTATTAGAGAAGCACAAAAAGGAGAGTTGACAATGCTTCCCACCATGGATTCAAGCAGAGGATCTGCAACCTCCTTGCCCTTTGATCTACCAAGAACTTGGGTGCCCTAATGAGGTCCTACTTCAGCAGGTTACTGAGAGCCACACCTACAATCATTACCAAAAGAAACACAATGAGCGCATACTGGCGGGAGGTGACAGTACTCAATTCCTACTTTCCAGTAGAATACCCCTCAGAACGACCTACTTACGCATAATCCTCGCTTTCAGCCTAGGTTACCGAAGGAAGACAATAGGTTGACTTCCCCTGATTTCCAGATAACCACAAGACCAAACAAAATCACACTAAAACTCTCCACCCTTCTCGCCTTTATTTCATGATCGTTTGCTTGATGTATTTTCAAATGTGTTGTTAATTAAAAAGTTTTTAGATGATTCATCTTTTGATTATTAATTTTTATAATGTTATTATTTTACCCCTAAAATAAATATGTTCTTTTTCTTGTTTGCTATTCTAAGAAAGCCAACTACAAAAATAGCCAACTAAGTAACAAGTATTTGGATATTAACCTCACAAAATAATACTAATTTTATGTTTACGATGTTCACAAATTACAATGGTTACAAAATATATCATTTAACAACAAAACATAACCTATACATGAAACCGGTCTTCAAATTACTAATGATTATTTAATTAGAAATTATTGAAAAGTAATCATTCTAATAATTGGAAAATATTATTTAAAAATAGTTGAAAAGTATTGGATTTGTGAGGATAAAATACTAATGAGTTAGTATTGGGTATATGAAGAAAAGGTAGAGTAAAAATTGAAAACTAGTGATGAAAAAATAAGTCATTTGCAAATGATTAAGGGACAACATTTGAAGACGTGTAATTTCTTACAAAATGACTCATGCAATGACCTCTTCCTCTTCAAAGGCTCTCTCTTGCTTTCTCTCTCATCTCTTTATTAGCATTCACGTAATAACGACTTATAAGTTGCACTCACTAACTATGACTTCTCCAAAAAATGTGGAACAAAGTAATTTAAATATATAAGTATGAAAAATTCTAAACTTTCCTTCATTTCAACAAACTCATTTAATGAGCCCCTCAATCAACGCGTTTTATAGGATAGATCTATTTTTGTTTACTCAAACTGAACAGTATATCTGAAGTTAAACTCGTCCGATTCTTTTGCAGCCAAAATCGTGATTATTTGATTTGGAGTGTATTTATTAAATCGTGAGAAAAAATAATTTTTTAATATACCTATGGTTTTTCCCTCCCTATAAATATCAATAAAGCTCCACGGTTAAGTACCATCTCTTAATTTCATCCCTCCATTTCAAATCACATTTTATTCTTTTTTATTCTGCAAAAAATGAAGACTTTCTCAACCGGTATTGTTTTATTCATAATGGTGCTTTTCGTTGTCAATTGTCAAGGTAACTATCCAATTAACTTTTTCATTTTGAAAATACAAAAATCGGAACCTTATAAGCTTTGAGAACTAATAATTAGAACACCTTGATAATGAATATGTGCAGGAAGAGTCCTACTTCCTCCTCCACTCATTCCTCCATACTACTGTCTACAAGAGGAACATGATAGACCGTCATTTACACATGTTATTACCCCCATTCTTACACCGTTTGAGGTGTTGATTCTCGTGTTTTAGGCCGATTTCACGCTAGGTTGTGCTTGTTTGTGATGTTTCAGGTCCTAGTACGTGAATGAAGGCTTAGGAGCGAGTCTGGGGTCGATTGGACGAAGAACGGACGAATGGCGAGGTTTTTGGGGAGCTGCACGGGCAGACCAGGGAGGCTGCACGGCCGTGCACGTGAGCAATATGGCCGTGCGCCTTATGCCGAGGACACGCACGGGCAACCCCTGAAGCTCGCACGGCCGTGCACCCTGGCCGTGCGAGAGGGCTGAAGTTCGACTAAATGACACGCTGCGTTTTGAGTTGCACGGCCAGAATGGTGATATGCACGGCCGTGCACCCTGGCCGTGCGAGTCGGGATTTCCTGGTTTTAAGCCAAATTCCGAACCAAAGAGGGGGGGGGGGGGGGAGAGCTGGGTTTTGGATCCCAAACACCCAAGGGACGAACCCTAGAGAGAGAGGGCGATTTGAGGGCATTCTTGGAGTAGAGAAGGAGGATTTCTTCGCCTTGGAAGCTCGAGGAACAAGCCCGGACTTGAAGACTGATCATCTGAAGATTCTTACTGCAGTCTCTCTCTTCTCTATGGAGTAACTTCCCTTCACTTAGGTTTTGAGGAACCCTAGCTATGTTTGTTTGATTGGATGATTGTATGAGTACTCTGACTGGATAATCTTGAGTTCATATTCAATCTATGCATGTTTTCATGATTCAATTCTGCTTTAGTCGAGATTATTGATTCTGCTTTGATTCTATGAGAGGGAATACCTGATTAGATCAATAAAGCACCATAGATTGATAGTAGTGGATCGATTGCTTTAGTCGAGGGTTGATTCACTGCTTTGTATCGATTGAGAACCTCTTTCGATAGAGGGAGTCTAGTTCAGAACGCCTTGATCAGTTGTTCTAGAGAAGGATACGTCCCTCTAGGCAATTGACTCAAGAGGGCCTTGTTCCTTTAGTCGAGACTCAATGTCTAGTCAAGGATTCTCCGCATTGTGAATGAAAGTGAAACAGGTTAGAGATCATCAATCATTAATCTGGCTAGTGGCTAGGGGGAATCATACCTAAGTGAGTTCCCAACCTGTAATTAGATTAACTTTAACTGTAGTTTGCTAGAGTAGTTTTAGTTCTTTCATCTTAATCTGATTTGCTAAATAATAAACTGAAGCTGAGTAATAGTAACTCTAGAGACCTGTGGATTCGATATTTATCACTTGAGCCACTATACTGCAGTCCCTTTCATTGGTTACACTTGGCCTTTGTTAGGT